TGTAGCCGTGATGGTCTCTTTTCGGTGGAGTCCGGGAAGAGAACACGGTCTCGTGTTATGCTTGAACGTAAGTAGCTTCAGGATCACTTCTTGATCACTTATAGCTTCTCGACCGTGCGTTGCTTCTCTTCTCGCTCTCATTTGCGTATGTTAGCCACCATATATGCTAGTGCTTGCTACAGCTCCACCTCACTAACTTTTTCCTACCCATAAGCTTAAATAGTCTTGATCTCGCGGGTGTGAGATTGCTGAGTCCTCGTGACTCACGGTTACTTCCAAACAGATGTAGGTGCCGATGATGCCAGTGTAGGGGACGCTACCGAACTCAAGTGGGAGTTCAACGAGGATTCAGGCCATTACTATGTTTCTTTTCCGGATGATCAGTAGAGGAGCCCAGTTGGGACGATCGGGGATCTAGCAATTGGGGTTGTCTTTCTTTGTTTTGGTTTCGTAGTCGGACCTTTGATTGTACCTTGGATGATGTATGGATTATTTATGTATCGTGTGAAGTGGCGATTGTAAGCCGACTCTTTATCCCTTTCTTATTCAGTACATGTGATGTGTAAAGATTACCCCTCTTGCGACATGCCTACCATGCGGCTATGCCTCTAAGTCGTGCTCTGACACGTGGGAGATATAGCCACATTGTGGGTGTTACATTCACCCTCGGGGTGAGGGTATGTACCAGTAGCTATGTGTTTGATCTCTCTCTCTCTCGTGTTCTTGATTTGGCACGATCTTGATGTACCGCGAACTTTGTTACTATAGTTGGATCATATGGTGTCCCCCCCTCTACCTTCTTGTGATGAATTGAGTCTTGCTCTTTGAGGTTTCGTTATGTTGGATTGAGTATTGGATTTGAGAACACTTGATGTATGTCTTGCGATGGGGTATCTGTGGTGACAATGGGATGTTCTATTGATTCACTTGATGTATGTTTTGGCACTCAACTCGCAGATTCCCGAGGTGACATTGGGATAATCTATGCATAGGGGTTGATTTATGTTTTCGTCCTACATTCTCCGATAGAAACTTTGGAGTGACTCTTTGTTGCATGTTGAGGGATTGTTATGTGATCCAATTATGTTAGTGTTGAGAGAATTTGCACTAGTGAAAGTATGAACCCTAGGCCTTGTTTTCAAGCATTGCAATGCCATTTTTGATCACTTTTGTTACTAGTTACCTTACTGTTTTTATATTTTCATATTACAAAAACCTATATCTAATATCCATGTTACACTCGTATCACCATCTCTTCGTCGAACTAGTGCACCTATACAATTTACCATTGTATTGGATGTGTTGGGGTCACAAGAGACTCTTTGTTATTTGGTTGTAGGGTTGTTTGAGAGAGACCATCTTCATTCTACGTCTCCCACGGATTGATAAACCTCAGGTCATTCACTTGAGGGAAACTTGCTACTGTCCTACAAAACTCTGCACTTGAAGACCCAACAACATCTACAAGAAGAAATGTTGCGTAGTAGACATCAACACCCCCTTCCATTTCTACCATAAAGGCCCCTAGCTATATGTTTTATGGTTGTTAGTATGTTTTTAAGCTTTCTTCTGTCAGAACCCTCGTGCATATGATTTTGAGGCAGAATGGGAAACCTTTATTTCAGTTTTAGCAACAATCCAAAGAGAAAGTAAGATGTCATAGGATCACAAACACTGATTGTGTACAAAGATTGTGTCACACTCCATACCACTAGTGTACCACTAACGCAACTAAGTGTGGCTCATGGCAATCGAATGAGTAACCATGTAAATACAACATCAATAAAAGGTAAAATAGCTTTACATGTAAAAACATGTCGTGTACGTTTTCTAGTAACCGGCATGAGATAAGAAAGCCATCAATCTACATCTAACTTTAGGGTACCAAGTTCATTGCTCATCCCGACATATAGATGTATAGACAACTTTGTACGAAAGTGTGCAGTAATCATGATAACCTTTTCAAAATCAAGTGGAAGTTATACCATAATTGAATACATGGTGTAATGTAAGTAAGATATCAATTAACCGACTATGAAAAATGCCATGTCTGCGTTTCAATCGAACACACACTTGGAAAGTTTACCAGTTTACTGAAGGATATGCAGTTTCGCGAGATATGAAAAACTATTGTACAAATAATTACTCCTTTTGCTCCTCATACTTGTCCATAGCAAATAACATATAAAATATAATGTTCATTGTTTATCATCTTTCATCTTTAAGACGATAGCAAGCCAATATCTGTGGTTGGTGAAGGACACAATTTTCTTGATGAGTATACATGTGATTTTTGTACAAAGCCGCAAGCTAACACATATCCGAACACAACCTCTTTATCTCGATGACGAGTGAACCGAAACTGACAACATGATGACATAGGGTCAGAAGACACGTCGCGCAAAAAGGTTACAATGGATGATAGATTGCAAGCATGCATCGCTAAGATAACCACGTGTATGGTTTTGCGACTTCGGTGCAAGATAAGCAAGATATTTATTCATATATATCTTCCTTTTGCGAAAGCTAATAATCCATATAAATATCTACTTTCGGCGCGGAAAGTCTACGTCTGATATGGAGTGATAAACATGATAGCAAGCTGCACTCATATCTAGGATAGCACTCAGTTTGTCTGATAAATCCATAAATTGTCATTGTACGAAATTACAAAACTCCCATATACCATCACAATAGTAGCTGACAGTATGGAAAACCATCTTACATTTTAAGACATAGAGGGAGTAATATTTATTATAACGTTCAAAATCAAGCGAACAGATCACTCCACTCCAATACTCCATGGCCGTACGATCAAATCGAAACAAGCAGCACGAGAATCTCTAAAGCTCGAATGGACCGAACGAGCCAACATTAATTACGCTCCGAAGGAAGACCTCGAAGTAAATGCGCATTACGCTCGCGATAAAAAATCGTACGGGCCGGCCACACGGGAGCAAAGTGCTCCCACGAAACCCCCGTCGCCAGGGTTCCCTCCTGGCCGCCCTGCCATTCCCCGCACAAGGCCAGTGCGTACCGACGCTTCCCCCACAGCCTGGAGCCGAGCCGCCGTACTTTTCACTCTCTCGCCGTCTCGCGCTCTCCTCCCTCCTCGTTCCCGGGCCTCAGCTCTCAACTCCCTCCCAGTTACTTCCTCCTCCACCTCCTCCTTCCCCTGGCCTCGCCCGCACGCCGCTCGATCGTCGCCTACCTAGTACCTACCATACATACCATCACACCTACCGCCCCTCTCCCCCACTGCCTCTCTCGCCCGCACCGCCAAACCCCCCCGCGTCAGCGATCGAGCCCTGCCCGCCCGTCCGAATCCGAAGCCGCCGGGCAACTCCTTCCGCCGAAGCGAAGCGGGCCGCCTCGGGCTCTCCGCCACCGCGTCCTCCTCCGTCCGCACTGCGCCGCTGGTGCTGGATTGGCGTGGAGATCCACCCGGACTTGTTCCTCCTGCCGCTGGTAAGCCGGCCTTCCCTCCCTTCCCTGTCTGGATTCGTTTCGCTCTGATCTAGTCGGTCGGTCGGTCCTGGCCTGCGAGAATTCGAATCCGAATATATGGGCCGCGCCCTGTGCAATACGTGTAAATGCGTCCGTACCGGGAAATATACTCGCTGCAGGTGCGGATTCGCTCGCTGGTACTCCGCCAGCGTACGCCGCCCATCCGTATGATTCGGTTCCTGTTTTTGCTCGGCGCGCGCAGCATCTCAGGCAGGGGTGTTATTGTCCTGCGACCCCAGAGAATCGGGCTCGAGGTGCGGGCGCCCCTGATTCCTCCCGTTTCGGTCATAAATAGCCGCCGGAGGGAAGGCTTGAGCTACAGCCCGACGCCATTACATGGTCGTCTATGGGATTGTGGCCTATATTGCTTACTGTATGTTCATGCGTAGAGTGGTCTGTTTTACCTTTTCCATTTTTACCCACGGTTTTTACCGAGTTGCTAAATTTTGGTAAATAAAAGCCTGGATCTACACCGCAGAGTATGCCCCCATGTACTCATACCGGGAGTGGGCCCAGTTAGTGACGTGGATAGGATTATTGCCGACATTTTTTGGCTGCCAGCATGAACAGCGCCCACTCGTCATAGCATCTAGTGGATAAAATGTGAGTTAACTGGAACTGTACATCATGCTATGCTTGGTTGTATGCAACAGAATATGCAAGTTGCCCTGGAAGTTTCTGATGAGACATGGGAAACTTTCATGTGATGTTGCGGGCTGGCTTCTTTTTCGGAAGCTGATTTCCATCAGGATGCACGTCAGCTGTTGAAACGTGATTCACTTCTATTTAGTTAGCAATCCTTCATTGTACGCCACTAACTGAGCTTTACTAACCACAAAGGTTGCCCTTTCCCCTGGGCAAAGCCAAAGCCTCACGCAGTTCACATGTCCTCACTCTTTTCAGTTGGATGTTTCTATCAAGTTTTTTTTTTTTTGAATTTGAAAAGTAACAAGTAGCCGACTGTTTGTCTCAAGTTTGCACTTATCATTGTACTCCCTCTGTAAATTAATATAAGAGCGTTTAGATAACTAAAATAGTGATCTAAATGTTCTTATATTAGTTTACGGAGGGAGTACTTCTAAATAGTCTGTTAATCAATCATGCATTTTGTTGTTCAAAAGACAATCCATTCTCACCATCAGAAGTGGACAAGGTGTATAGATGGGTTTAGATTAAGCAAACCCTGACTTGCTAAAAAGTCGAAGTATTTGGTTTCTGCTGCAGAACTGCCAGTCAGTTTAGTAGTACTGCAGATGGGGTGAAAGAATCTCCGTGCAGATAATTAGATATAAGAAAAGCTCTGGTCTCTACTAAACTTTGTCTGAGTGGTTTCTGCTTTTCTTGAGATCTGTATTAAGTTTATTTTTTATTTTGCAGATATCAGCCAGACTGATCAGTGGTCATATTGAATACAAAGCTTTCTCGTATGGTTTTTGTTAGCATGCAAAAGATGGTGCCCATGGGTTTGGAATGAGGGACTACACTACCTAGAAATGGATGAAACACCAACTAGTTCTGGGCGATCTGAAGCTACTTCATGTGAACCTAGTTGGTGGCCGCCAGACTTTTTGGAGAAGATAGAATCTGTCGCCTTAGCAAGAGAACAAGAAGTTTTGGCTGAAAAAGAATCGCGATCCAGTCTGTCAAATTCAAGGTCCTCATCCTGGAAGGCTTCTCAGTTACTGTGGTCAACTGGAACTTATTCAGGGTTCATTCCAAACGGTTTCTATTCGATCATCCCGGTGAGTACCCCCCCTCCAGTAAGCATGTTTTGTTCTTTGGAGACATAGTCCTTACAAAAGAACTACACTAGATTATTTGTGCATGTCATGTGGCTTTTGAGTTAGATGCTCCCAAATTCATGTCAAGCACTTGCTTTCCGAAGAAGATGCTTAATGCTCCATCTAAACTGGTGGCTATGGAAGTGGACTTAATTTGATTTTTTTTGTTCTTTTGGTGGCTTTGTATTATTTCAGTGTAGTAACGATAAATCTGAAAATGTAACAAACTGCCTATATTTTTGAAGGGCAGCATTGTTTTAGACCATCACATTTCATATGGTTCAGAAAGTGCCACAGTTTTGCAGAATGTCAACCTTTCCAATGTCTTTTCTCAAGTTGTTTTCTCGGAAAACGAGGAATCAAGTTCCTAGGTCATAAAACTATGGATCATTGGAGAAACACTAGAATTTGGACTTATGATTTCGCAACAATTTTTACTTCTCTTCTCAATCTGATTATTAAGTCCCGAATGATTTAGAGGATGTTCTGCTTTTGTTCAGTTCTTTGTGGTTATGTTTTTTCCACCTGTGGTGCTCTCATACAGGATAAAAAGCTGAAGGAGAGTTTCCCAACAATACCATCACTAACTGACCTTCAAAGTCTTGAAGCAGATGGGCTTAAGCCTGAAATAATTGTTGTAGATGCTGAAAAGGATAAGAAGATTTTCATGTTGAAGCAGCTTAGTGGCGCACTTGTGAAAGGATTGAACAATCCAGCTCTAGTGATAAAGAAGATAGCAGGTTTGGTAAGTTCTAGAAATTATAATCCGATACAACTGTCTATTTTTCACATACGCAATTCCTCATTGGGGGCTTTGTTGATCACTTCTATGGTATGATCTTGGGATACTTTTGAGGCTGAATGGACATGTAAAACCAATTTTGGTTAAAACTTTCGGTTAGAGTAGTATTGGTTACTGATATCTTAGTTAGTCCTTGCATTAGTTACATCAAATCGTTCTTATTGAATTGATGCTGAAGTAAGAAAGAATTAACTTATTGCTTGATGTATCTAATAGAACTTGGCAAGTTATTCCCGAACAGGTTTTTGACTGCTTCAAGGGCCAAAGCTCTGATGCAAGTCCAGGAAGAGCTTCAACCGAAGATACTCACTTCTTTGGAAATAGAGGACCCCAACTTCTTGGGCAGATAAGGCATGGGTCATGCCGACCCCGAGCTATCCTATTTAAAGTTCTTGCAGATGCTGTTGGCCTTGAGAGTAAACTTGTTGTGGTATGTTGACATCCCTTTTCAATCTTTTGTATATTTCAGATATTTCTTTGCGCATCAAATAATATTCCGTGTTCATGTTATATTTAGGATAAAAATTAAGTTCAAATGCTTAAAATTGTTTCCTTCATAGGGTCTACCTGATGACGGTGCAGTTGGATTTGTGGACTCCTACAAACATATGTCTGTGGTAGTTCCGCTGAATTCTATGGAGCTACTAGTTGACCTTATGCGATTTCCCGGCCAGTTGATTCCTTTTTCAGCCAAGGCCATCTTTATATCACATATCTCTGCTGCGGGTGAGAGTGATTCAGCTGAAAATGACTCGTGTGATTCTCCCCTGGAGCCCAACAGTCCTCTATATGGATTATCTGATAAAGTTGAAGCTGAAGGGTATGCTTATGCATTAAATATCTCTAGTTATGCAATTCAGGCCTTTATATTTTTTCAATATCACTATGAGTATAATGATAGAGAGCTAATAGTTCACTCACTGGACAAAATGTTTGTTGGCATATTGAGTGGCTCACACCCTTTTATGGATGAACTTATACCGTGAACCTTTGAACAGAAAGCATGGCCTCCCACTGTCATTAAAGTTCAAAAATAAAATAAAATAAACAGATAGCATGGTCTGATTATAGAGAAAAAAAATCATTGTTTGTGTTGTGGGGCAGGCTATTAATGACTTTTAAATATAATCATGCAATAGAACTGTAAGATTGATAATTATTCTAGCATATATATGCTTGTTGAAACAAGTAATTTTGTAAGACATGGTGATGTATGCCCCTTGCTGGTTTAGGTTGGTTGGTTGGAACATTATTGATTGTATGGTGGAACAGTGAATCTTCACACTGGCCGCAATAGAAGCTGAGATAGGTTATTTGCATGAAGAGAAAATACAGAATATTTGAGAAATTTACGTCGGAAGTTATATCTGACAACATTAACCAAATAAATAAATTGTACAGAAGAAAATCAGTCATGGATATTTTAATTGTATAGTTGTTGTGGTATGGTTCTAAATAGCGTCTGTATCGGCTGATAAATTGCTGATATTGCGGTTTGGGCTGCCTGCTTATATCAAGTATGGTCTGATATTTTGGTCACATCAGCCCCAGTATTGGTCATATCGGCCGATATTTCGCTCATATCGCTCTTTCTACACCAAATCTACGAGCATGGTATCCGATATTTTGAACTTGAAATTACCATTAGAAAAGGTTACATGCTCAGGTTGTATTGGTTCTTTCATTATTCTTTTGTGCAATCCTTCTGTTAATTTTTCCTAACTTTCTAGAGTTTATATTTGAGCAAGATAAAAATATTCCATCTCTATCTCAGTACAGAATCGAAGCTTCATCAAATCTATCTGGGCGTTCATTGCGTAATACAATGTTGAGATCGAGAACATTCTCAGAGGGGAAATTAAGGTATCACCTAATGATATAATATTAGTCACTATCCATGGTAAATTTTGCTTTAGTATACACCCCATCGGGGACATGGCTTTTGAATTCTAGTCACTTACAAAGCACAGTTCCATACTTTCCTCTGATTGTAAGTATTATTGCAAGGATAATAATCATTTTTATTGCATAGTACATACTACATTACATAAATCAATGTACACATGCATGCGGTGGATTTTGCCATGCCTGCATGCAGAATTTTAAAGCAAGTTAGCGTTCCAACCCAATGCTTACATCATACTCTAGGGTCATCTCAAGTTCTCAACATCCATCTTATAGCCGCGATAGCTTCTTGGCTTGGGCCAGCCCATCTTACATCAAGAGGGTCTCCTGGAAGGGGCGTGAGACAAGCTGCTGGACAAGTGTCTTGCAGCGGGAGTTGGAGAAGCTTGCACATTCTGGAACATGTCTGTCAGTGTAGGAAGTAGATCGACATAACGAAGATGAGTTGGGAGTCAGTCGGGTGAAGGAGGCCATGACAGAGGGGTGAGCTGAGTGGTGTTGCAAAACTGGAATTCATCACATTACCAATTAAGGACCAGTTTGAATCCCCACCTTTGATCTACATTAAAACTCGTAAACTATTAAAAATGTCGTGCACCACACGCTGTGCCCAGCATGGTACGCCGGCATCCCAATCTTCAGCCCACCACCCCTTGCAGGATGTGGGACCCATGCCGTATTGTGCTCCCCGCCGAGGGGGTTGGGAGTGTGTTCTGGTGTGATGCCTAGGCAGGCGTTCCCTCAAGAGCGGCAAAGATCTTTGATATCTACCAGAACATTGATTCCTGGTCCTTCACCAATAAGATGGAACTCTTCGGAGAAGATTGGCATTTCCAGAAGTATGGTCGGCGCTCCGCTGCGCGCTCCCTAGCTCTCCCCTACCCACCTAGCCTCCAGCCCCGCCGCCGGTGACCCCTCGCCGGCTGCCTTCCCCCCTCCCCCCTCCTCCCCCTCCTGCCCCTGCCCCTGCCCCCTGCCATGGCGGACTCCGGTGCTGACCCTGTCGACCGTCGCGCGGCCCTCTCTGGCGAGCGCGTGTCCTCTGGCGACGCTCAGCTCGGAGAGCGAGTCCCCGGCGCGCTTGTACAGCGACGTCGCCCGCACTCTGCCGCCCCCTCCGGCCCCATAGAGGCAGACTCCATCGCCCTCCCACGGCTCCACGGCGGCGCGCCCCAGCCTGCCGGCTAGAAACCGCCTTGGCCCCCGCTCGGAGGTGCACCGTGTCTCAGGCGGAGACGTGGTGGACGAGGACGGATACCAACTGCCTCGGCGCCGGAACCGCCGCCGTCGCCAGCGACAGGCGGCCACCCCCAGCCCTCCGGCGCCTCGCCGACGGAGCCCCTTGCCCGAGGAAGTCGCCGGGTTCTGCTTCCGTTGCTTGGACCACCGCCACCGTGTGCGCGACTGCACCAACGACATCCGGTGCCACACATGCTTGCAGTCTGGCCATGACTCCCGTTCCTGTGACCCGAGCCGCCGAGACGTGGCGCCACATCGTCAAGAGCACGCCAACCCGGCCGTCCCGACACACGCGCAGCCGTTGTCCGCGCTCATTCCGCTGCCGCCCCCCCGCAGGCCGCAACCCCTGCCATGGCGCCACCGATGGTCGACGCGCACCCGCTCGAGCCCGTGCGGGTCATCATGGCGCGCACCGTCGAGATGGAGGACGCGGAGATGGTCCTGTCCCGCGCGATGGTCGCGTCCATCACCGGCACCGCCCGTCTATCTCCGTCGACGAGGTTGTTGCGCTGCTCTAGGACTCATTCGACCTCGGCGACGGCGACTTCACCGTCCACCGCCACCACCTGGAGGACTTTCTGATCCTCTTCAGCTCGCTAGCCATCAAGGAGCGGCTCGCCGGCGACCATTTCATCCGCTCGCCACGCTTCTCCCTCTCGATGCGGCCATGGTGCAAGCTTGCACACGCCGGCTGCAGAGTGAGTTCGAATTCCACGTCGAACTCGAGCTGTGCAGTGTCCTTGCCCAAGCTTGGCACCTCTCCACCGCCGAGCACATCCTCGGGCAAAGCTGCTGGATCGAACACCTTCACCCCCATACCCGCTCCCGTGCCGACCTCGCCACCTTCCGGCTATCTGGGCGCACGCACGACCCTGACAAGATCCACCGTGCTGCCATTCTGGAGGTGGTCGAGCAGGTGCCGGCGGCCTTGGACTCCGACGCGCCCACCATCATGACTCTGACCTACCCCATCGCGCTCGCCCGCTCCGTCATGATCCGAGCGCTGGCGACTCCCAGGCCCCTGGGCGCATGGCCAGACCACGAGTGCGGCGCTAGCGGGAACCGTGATCCCGCTCCCGACCGCGGCCTGGGACGCGTGCGCCGCCGCGGACGCACAGACGCGCCCGCTCCCGGCCGGGCCGACGGCATGGCCATGGACGAACTGGGCTGGCGCGTTGCCCGGCAGGCACGGCCGGATGGCCTTTCCTCGTCGCTGGCGTGGCCTACCAGCTCCGGCGCAGCGCCGCTCGCGAACCCGCTGCGTACGGGCATGCTACCCTGGCCAGGCCAGCGCGGGGGCCACCGCCCGCATCACCATGCCAGAAGAGGAAAAGGCAGAGGAAAGCAAAAGCAGCAAACAACCGAGGGCCAGTCTGGCAGCGCTGACGCGGCCGCCGCAGACGGCCAGCTAAGCCTGGTCGGAAAGCGTGTCGATCCACAACCGGACGTGAATTCAAATCTGGTGGCCAGCAACGATCCCAACGATGATCTTGTGGGCCAAAGCTCGGGTCCCCCTGACGCATCGGCTTGTCGGGAACCGGCCCCTGTCACCTCGCAGGAGGGATCTGCAGCGCCAGAGACCCGCCGGGACAAAGCGGAGATACCGCCCCACCCGGTCCAGAAGTGGGGCTGGATTCCGCTGACTAGTCCGCCGCCACCAACCCCACATGCGCTGCCTCGGGCGGGGAAACGCACCCCCTTTGTGCCAACCCACCCGCCCATGCAGACGGGCTGTCTCCACCTGCTGCCGCGCGGCCGACCCATAGCCCAGCGGGCTTGGTAGTGATCCTGCAGTGGCCCGTGGCTACACCACCCCCACTGAGGCCCACTGAAGACCCGATGTTCCCAAACGCTGGGGCCGTGACAACCCAAGGCCCAAGTGGCCGCACGTCGAGCCGGTTCGCATCGCCACCAATTACGCTACGGCAATCTCGAGGCCGCACCACGCCACCGTCCTGGACCCTTGGGGAGTTCCTGGCCACCGCCACGAAACATCTCAACGCCGCCTTGCCGGCCCCGGGGAAGAAGCCGCGTCGACCACTCAACTTCGCCCCTCTCCGTGGACGATCTGCAGCTACGACCTGCCAACCGAGCGCTCCCCCCACGAAGGAGCGACGCGCCCACGTGCAAATCCTGCGCACCCTCGGGATCATCGGAATCGACCAGAAGATTATTGCCGCAGAGATGGAAGGCCTATGACGGCATGTTCGCGGCACCGCTACCCCTGACGGTCCTCAAGGCCATCACCACACTGGTTGACAGCGAGATCCCAGTCTGCATGGCATCGGCTGCGACCGGCGAGGCACGCGTCGACATTGCATGCGAGGGCTAGTCCAGTCTAGGCGCGTCTACCCATCGATCCCGTTTCCATGGATCACGGCCTTAAGATCGCAATCTGGAACGTGCGCGGCATGAATGCGCGGGCTCGCCGACGTGCTATCCGGTCGCTGCTGGACACCACCGGGGCCTCCATTGTATGCATTCAAGAAACGAAAATGGAATTGATCTACTCGGCTATTGTCTTGGATGCGTTTGGTTCCGAATTCGATGACTACACATACCTCCCAGCCGATGGCACGCGGGGCGGCATCTTGCTAGCGTGGAAGAGCAGGGTTGTGACCATCACGGACCCAATGTTCACCACCAATGCGATCACCGCAAAGGTGGCCACGGCCACAGGCACACCATGGTGGCTAACGGTGGTATATGGCCCCCAGGAAGATGCCGACAAGATCACCTTCCTGCAGGAGCTTCGCGAGATCCGAGCCGCCTGCCCCGACCCGTGGATGGTTTGCGGCGACTTCAATCTCATCCGCCGCGACGACGACAAAAACACCGGCAAGTCAATCGGCGCAATGATGGGCAAATTTCGCCGTCTCACAAATGACCTCGCGCTCAAGGAGATCTACCTCAACGGGCGGTGCTACACATGGTCCAACGAGCAATCACCGCCGACACTTGTGCAGCTCGACCGTGTACTTTGCACCGTAGATTGGGAGGACGCGCACAGCGGATGCCACCTGCGATGCCTTGCGGCTGTGGTGTCGGACCACGCCCCGTTGCTGCTGGACTGCTCACCCACGCCCACCTCGCACAGACGGTTCCATTTTGAGGAATACTGGCTCTGCTTGGACGGATTCCATGACGTGGTGACCGCGGCCTGGGGCTCTACACACCACGCCGATCCCTTCCACCGGCTCATGCTCCGGCTCTAGGCGACGGCGGCGAGACTTACTAGCTGGAGCTCCAGGTCTACGGGCAACATCAAGGCCAAGCTTGCGATCTCACGGGAGCTCATCTCGCGCTTCGACCAAGCCCAGGAATCGCGCAACCTCTCGCCACCGGAAGCCTGGCTCCGCAAGCAGCTCAAGATATCCTATCTTGGGCTCACATCCATGGAGCGCACGATCGCCCAGCAACACTCCCGCATCACCAACCTCAAAGACGGCGACGCTAGCACCGGTTTTTTCCACCGGCAGTGCTCGTCCCGTCGGCAGAAGAACCACATCTACAGCCTGGTCGCGGACGGTAGGGTGCTCACGGACCACATTGACATGGCGGAGGCAGCCTTCGCTCATTTTGAGGCCTTGCTTGGCACGGCGACTGCCCGGGAGCACTCCCTAGACCTGTCACAGCTCATTGAGCCGACCGACCTCGCCGACCTCGATGCGCCTTTCAGCGCTAAGGAGATTTGGGAGGCTGTCAAGTGCCTCCCTGCTCGCAAGGCGCCGGGCCCAGACGGGTTCACAGCAGAATTCCTCCGCGCATGCTGGACCATCATCAGGCAGGATTTCCTTGACGTGTTCCAGCAACTATATGACTTGCGAGGAAGGGGGTTCTACAAGCTGAACCAAGCATTTGCTGACGCTGCTTCCAAAGAACGCCGCCGCCCATGGGCTGCGCGACTACCGGCCGATCTGCCTGATACACCTTGTGGCCAAAATCTTCGCCAAGGTGCTCTCAATCCGCCTCGGTGCCAAACTGGACCACCTGGTTAGCCGCAACCAAAACGCTTTCATCTCGGGAAGGAGCTTGCACGACAACTACGTCCTTGTCAAGCAGTCACTCAAGCTGCTGCGCCAACTGGGAGCTCCGAGAGTCATGCTCAAGCTCGACCTCACACGCGCCTTCGATTCCCTATCATGGCCATTCCTCTTTGAGGTTTTGCGCCAGTATGGATTCGGGAACCGATTCTTGGAGTGGACGGCCATCCTCC